TAGTGGAAAGTATTGCATACATCTAATGTTTGTACTCTATAGTAAAGATGCGGTCACGGCAATAATTTTTCATTGTGTTAACCTTATGAATTATTAATGATTTGATAAGTGAAAAACTGCCCCTACCCCTTCCCCTGACGAGTCCTGAATACACAAATAGTTATAATTTTGTTCCTTTTATTCATTCACCATAATATGTTCTAAACACAATCGCTTGTTTTTTGGCAGAAACTAAAACTAGATGGCATTACATTAGTACCAGTAAGACAAAACCTTGTAGATAGAATATGGACCACAAGGCCAATCGGTGGAACCGACAAAGTATATGTATTGGGATTTGAGTTTACAGGTAAGATATAGAGGATATTACATGGGCGCGCGGAGATACGGATTTTATCTTCGAGTGTTGAGATTTTCAACACGAAAAGATAAAATTCGTATCTCAAAGCGACCGTGTAATATTCTGTTTATCATATAAATAAATATGAAAGCAAATTATGTCGGAAAATATCTTTTTTCTTACTTACACTATATAGAGAAACCTCGAATGTGTTGTATTTTCACTAGTGAACACTAGTGAAAATATCAATTTTACGTAATGGAGAAATATAGGTATTCAGTTGCATAGATAGTTATATGATAAAAGAATGTCTGGGACGTATCTCGATCTCTACCGTGATTTTCAATGCATTGTGGGATCAGTTTCTGAAGAAAACAAAAGAAATCCGACATGTTTTGTACCAAAAATCACTGGAAAAAGTGATCAATTTCCATATTATGTAAAAAATATCATGGAATTCTCGACTTACATGAATTTTACACATTATATATAAATTTATTAATTAACATACATCTTGGAAAAATCATGTAAATTACGAAATCCTTTTGTAAATGGGGAGCAATCGTGTAAATCTAGATTTAAGGCATCTTTACATGATATTTACATACTATTGATCACGTTTTCCAGTGACATTTCCTACAATGCATTTGCGTTTACGGTACATGAATTAAAAGCTTCAGAGCTATATTAATTATATATTTTTGCGACAGGAAAAACATGGATAGACAAAGTAGATGATGTCCGTTGGGAATTGAGTCGGAAAAACAGGACAGCTGTAGTTTTGCAGGCACTTGATGAAATAGCATGTAAGTCTTAAGCATAATGGTGTGCTTTATATGAACTGCCCGGAATCGTGTTTTAAGCTATTAAAATAGCTTCAAAGGAAATTAAGACAACATTGAGAACGTTACGAAAAAAATAATGATTGTATGAATCTAGACTTTTAAAGGTGCTATAGTCTACTGATGTCCCTTTCTCGGCAGTTTTGATCATTATTGAAAATACATCTTTAATTAACTTCTTATTATGCCTTCATACTCTATTAATGAAGATGTTGTAACATTCGACCTTAAGGACGTTCGAGGGCATTGCTACTGCGCACGCTTTCTGCGCACGCRKAAARCGGAAGTTGTCACGAAATTGCATCACGCAAAACAAAGATGGCGACCGCTCTTGTTATGTGTTTATGAGGTCTTGTACGTACTTTTCTGAACTTCTACTTGAATGAAAAATATTTTCGTGTTCAAAAAATGAGAGATTTACTACTGCTAAAGAATTGATGAGGCGAAAAAGTGTTGAAAATGCTCTAAAAAGTCGTAGATTGGCAGAAAAAAGTCTCTCGCAATTCAAGATGGCCTGCAAAATCTAAGATTTCGACACGAAATATTTCGACAACGAACCCGGTAACCCCAATTTCTATTTATCTTAAAAGAAGGCTACTTGGAAAAAATATAACATATGTGAAAGCGGAAAAAACGACAACAGAGGTTTCTGAAATATAGCAGTTTTAGCTGGAAATGACACCTATTCTTGACGTCGAATGTGGCGGCCTTACACGAACAAAAGTCCTAAAGAAATCAAAAATCACATCATGTAATGTTTCAAAGTCTCGTAAACAATATTAACAATTATCGCCCTCAGCTTTTGTGGAAAAATTTGGATCAATTGATATGTGTTTTATATTTTTCGGGAAGTTTTTTGGTAGACGGCATCGACCCCTTTTCGCGCGCTTTTCTTTGACAATTTTGGTGATTTTGTGCAAGAATTATCTCTAAAATGAAGCCGGTGACCTCCACTTTTTTATCGCTTTTTTGCAAGTTTATGTCATCGCGTATTTCCCCAAAAAATTTCATCGAATTGACATCACGGAATCCAATGCCAATGAACGTCCTTAAGAA